TCTATCTATCTATCTATCTATCTATCTATTTATCTATCTATCTATCTATCTATCTATCTATCTATCTAATATTTGTGAAATTTCGTCACTTTGGTCGTCTAAAACTTTTGAACCACTTAACGTCTGAATTTGAAGGAGTCTGACGTCACCGTAGTTTGATTTTCAGTTTTTCACAGTTTCGTTTTGATCTAGTCTTGAGAAAGTACATCTTCTAAGACGCCATTGTAAATAAGTGAGGCTTCCATTCACACGCAGTGCACACTGTTTCCACAATGACTTGACGTTCAATCTTTTGGAGTTCGTTCATCGAAACGGTACCCAGCTAGTATTAATATATGATTACAACTTCAGAGCTGTATTCGGAAAGTACTTGACCTTATGCCCACTTCCGATGTCTTCATGGAAGACTAAACCTTTACTATGGCAAATGTTAATGCTCTTGTCTTCACCACACGCGATTGTATGTCTAGAAGGCCAACAGTCTTCATCGGAGTACATATTTTCAGACCGTTTTCGCTCTCCCCTTTCTCCTCTCTTTCGTTCCTGAGACATCTGGAAGTGTAGAAAACTCTACGCCTGCATACCTCGCTAAAACACAACTATTGTCTAAATAAATCAAAACAAAACCAATATTTTTCTCTGAACTTTCAGCCAGGCGGGAAACACGACATAGCAGCGTGCTCTGATCCTGTGAGGAACATGTTTGGTCTTTCCTTTCCTCTGCTTCATGCCTGAATTCTTCCAGTGTTTTACAGAAGCCCAAATTCTTCGTTTAGTGGCTAGCTCTTGGAACGATCTGTTTACATTTTTTACTTTTTCGTTTACTGTATAGCATGAAACCTTAGACTGTTACCGTCAAGGAATGTTTCGAAAATAATACATTTTGTATGTAGTCTTAAGGAAAAGACTGTGTGGTTGTTGGAGCTGGGAGGGTGGGGGGGGATTTCATATAGGCTAGACTTAAAAAAAAACTAATCTTGTTTCATTATTTCTTAACACTAAAATAGTACTTGTTACTTTAATCCAAATCACGTACTAGGGAAATGTGGGGGCTATGGAGGTTACCAGCCATACCAAAACTTCAATTATTTAGGATAAGGATACATTTAACTTCTCTGATGTCCAATTTATTTCTTTACTCTCTCTGAGGCACGGGTGTATCGTGTGTTGCTGTTAGTCGCTTAACCATCGCATGCAGAGGACGAGAGTTCGATTTCTCTATCTCTCTCTCTCTCTCTCTCT